AAGCAAGTAAGCAAGTAAGCAAGTAAGCAAGTAAGCAAGTAAGCAAGTAAGCAAGTAAGCAAGTAAGTAAGTAAGTAAGTAAGTAAGTAAGTAAGTAAGTAAGTAAGTAAGTAAGTAAGTAAGTAAGTAGGTAAGCAAGCAAGGTGTCCCCACAAGCCTCGCCTGACCTGGTCGAGCGCGAGTGCTAAAATGCATGTAAGTAAGTATGTAAGTAAGTAGGTAGGCAGGTATGTATGTATGTATGTATGTATGCATGTATTCGTGTAATATAAAGCAAATGCAATTAAATGCAACATCATGTAACGTACCCGATTGCAATGCATTGTAATGCAGTGCAACGTAAATATGCACCTATAGGTACTTATGTACATATGTACTTGTGTGTGTGTGTGGTGCGTGCTGTATGTTGTTTTGTTCCCCACTCGTTGAGTTGTTTGTACACACGCACACATGCCTTCCTGAGCAGAGCATGAGGAGCTGTTTCACATTGGCGTGACTGCGCTTCGCGTGGATGCTCGGCTGCGATTCGCTTTGCAAAAGGGGGCGCAGCATGGGTTTGTGGGCTTTGGGAGTTCTCGCAGACCTCGTCGCTATGACGAACGTAGTCGTGTGTGACCCGGACATGTGGGGAGTGACGTGCATCCCGCAGTCCGGCCGGCAAGTGCGAGTGCCCAGCCAGGTGCAGACATGCATGCGCATGTAGAGACCGGCTGCTGAGTGCACATTCGCGATGTTGAGTAAGTTTGCACAATAGCATCCAAGATCTCGGTACTGTAGCAGTCGTGTGACGTTGCTTATCGTCGCGGCACTTGTAGCAGCACTGTAGCTGGCGTGGCCCTCGGCTCGAGGCCTGTGCAGAACTCCTAGGGTTTAGGGCAAAAAGCTGCGCGGGCTTTGCGCCTTAGAAGGGTGAGGGTGCACCTGCGTCCGTGCCGAAATTGGACCCTAAACCGAACCTTGAACCCTAAACCCTGAAGTCGAGGTCTTGAACGAATGTCATGCCTCTACTGTTAGGGTAGCGAGCCCAGACGTCGTGAGGCCATGCCTGCCTGGTGCGAGTGTGTCCGTGTGCCGAAACCCTAAACCACAACGTGGTACTCGAATCCTCGCCTGGCTTGTCCTAGATGTGAGTGCTGAAACCCTGTGGTTGCAAACGCTCGGCGGGAATCTGCTTTCTGCAACCTGTAACGGTACTCCCGGACTCGGCGAGGGGAAAAGGGTCGTGCAATAAAAACTTTAGGCGATGCTATTGATCTAGGTGTTGAGGTCCCAGTTTTCTCATTTCTTGACAGTTTCACCACTTTAGACCACAAGCCTCGCCTGCATTGTCCGAGCGTGAGCGCCGAAACCTTTTAATATGTGCACGTTACACGCACGTACCGAACTCTTTGAGCTGAGGATGCAGCTATCTACCATCATGTCTATGAGCTGGCGGCCTCTTACCTCGAGCCAAGAAGCGCTTTAGGGTTTGGGGATGTTTGGGGTTTAGACAGGGCTGGAAGAACTGGCGAAGTTTGAGCACAGTAGAATAAGGGTTTCACTGGGCAGTTCATTAGGGCCATTGGTTGGAGACGAGGGTAGAGTGAGGAGCACAGGCCTTGCGACGTGTCTTTTGGGTCATTGAGGGTGGGACTTGGCCGCTGGAAACCTCATCGAAAAGTGAGTCTGAGTTCTTTAGTGGTTATAGTTGGTTTAAGCTTGTTAATACCGACTAGTAGCATTTATCAATGCTTTGGAATCAGCAGTAGCACAGCCGGAGGACATGCTCAATGGGCTCCCATGGGATCTCGTCTACCAGGAGTGGTGGGGCGAGTATCCGCCACATGATCGTACCGAGTATGTCGGCCTGTACCGGGATGTTGCCTACCGCTGGCATTTGGTGAAGCTCAGTCTTCACTTAGACTTAGCTTGTTCAAGGGTTCATGGTTGTGAGTACATCCTCACGCCCTTCTTGCTGACATTGGGCTGATCACAGATTATTTGTAAGGAATCGGCTGGCGGGCAAGAACGCCACGGATCTGCCGGAGCTCCTGGATCTCGATGGTGGCGTCTTCGGCATCACTCAGGACATGGCCGTCTATCCTTTCGCCTACCACGACGGGCGCAGCAAGAATGCCGATCCCGAAATTGCCACATACAAGAACGGGCTGGCCTTCCACCAGCAGCAGAAGTTCTTCCTGTCCTGGCCGTTCGGGGAGAAGGTGTTGATCTGGGGTGGCTACGGCTGGCGGGATACGAACCACGGGCCGCCAGGCTGCGACAAGTCGGACGGTGACCATTGCACGCCAGACTCCGTCTACGATGAGGGCGGACACGCCCAGTGCATGCCGGCCCCAACAGTCTCTCCTCTACCCAAGTCGGAAGCTAGACAGCGACGGTGGATTTGTGAACACCGATGGCAGGGCGTGGCGGGCATGATGCACTTTCGAAAGGCCTGTCGACAACATGCGGTGTCAGAGAAGTGGGAAGGCGGAAAGACTGAAGGCATCGGCATCGGCCGTCTTGCCTTCCGCCTGGGTAATGACTGCTTCGTCGCACTCACGCGTGGGAGGAGAGAGGACGAGGATGAGGATGTGGCTGGGGTTGGTGGGACTTGGGATTTGACAGGCCTCAAGATCGCGCTGCCCCAGGGTCGATACTGCGACATGTCTTCGCTCCACACGCAGAAGGGCTGGGACCAAAGCAGTTGCCCCAGGGAGGTGGAGGTGGACGAGGAAGGAGTGATCCAGCATGGCTCCGTCACGCAGGGAGAGCTCCTCGACTGCACCATGCACAAACTGCAAGAGCCGCAAGGGCCGGCCCACACCTGCCCGATGTGTTTGTGTGTGTGTGTGTATCGCATCAACACCGTGCATACATGCATTCGCACCTGTGCACCACATGCCACTTACCAGGCAGGGTCCCACGGTACTAAAAATTCATTTCGCATACTCAGAGTCGTTTACATTCACACGGGGAAGCGCGTTCATCCGTGCACCTATATAGTCACAAACTCGCAGCGCACACATGCAGGATAAAAGCATGCGCGGTAACACGCTTGACATCCACCCTGCATGTGAACAAACATGCTCGCATAGATCCACCACTGCATTCATAAGTTGCTTGTGGGACTCGAGTGACCAGGGTCAAGCTGACAAGGATTCTGGCCATCCACGCCGGGGCCCTTGTGACCAGCCTCGTCAGTTGATCCGAAGGGCGTGCAGCCGCGAGGCTTTCAGGACCTGGCCTTATGATTATGTAACATATAACACCAGTACAGTATGCAAACCAATAGGTATACATGTACGTGTGTGTATGCGAAAAACATGCGTATATCTATACACACATGCACACTCAAACATGTATATCATATCCTAAAAAGTGCAATACAACACAATGGGTGATAACAGGATACAACATATTATAATATATTCGAACTTAATCTAGTATAGTAGAATTACAACTTAACACATTGTAACAAAAAAGTACATACCGTATAACGTGGTATAAAGTAATGAAACATATCTTAAATAGCAACATATTGGGTACTTAGATACAACATATTGCACTGTAATGTAATATAATACAACATGGTACAATATAACAAAATGTATTATGCTATGACATAGTATGGGGTAAGATAATATCTAATGTAGCATAACATAAGATAACACACTATAATCTAATTTAATGCTGCGTGTATATATATATATATATTATAATAAGTAGACATATATATATATATATTACATATGTGCGTGTATGCATGTATCTCAACATTGTACATAACATACATACACACTGATGTAGTATTGCATATATACTTATATGCATGCATGCATTTATGCATATATGTATGAGTTCGTATGTGTATATATATATATATCAGGTTTTATATCTCCACTATATGCACATACAGGTACAGGTAGAAGTATACGTATATTGCACAGGTGCAGGTATCTCTGTAGGCATGCATGTTTTGGTCGGACATACACCTCGCCTGACGTCGTCGAGCGCGAGTGCCAAAAGTGCATGCATGCATGTATGTACGCATGTGTGCATGTATTCATACATGCATGTATGCATGTATGTATGTATGTGCGTACGTATGTATGTACATATGTATGCATGCGCGCACGTGTGCATGCGTGCGGGCATGTACGTAAACCTATGTCCACACCAGACATTCGGACACGCATACACACACACACATATATATATATGTATATGTATATATATATATACATACATGTGTATATATATATGTATATACACATACATATGTATATGTGTGTGTGTAGAGAGAGACGGGAGAGAGAGAGAGAGAGCGAGAGATTGATTGTGTGTGTGTGCGTGCGTGTGTACATGTTCGCGCGCGCGTGCGTAGCATGTTTGTGTATGCTTAATTCCACAAACATATACCTACATATTCGGGGCTTGTTGACGATGTGGTGCCGCCGGGTCCAATGACGCACTGGATCTTCTGACGGAATTCAACGAGTTCCTAGCAACCGCCGCTGGCTTACAGCTTCTGCCGGCCGCGGGGCGAACCTTTAATTCGTCAACAGCTACAGCCCACTTCCGTGCAGGAAGCCTCCTTTACGCCAACGCCTTGATATCCTGATGAAGCTTATGGAGCTACATGCGGAAGACACGGGGCGGGGGGTGGATGTAGCCGGCTCTTTTTTCGTAGTCGTAGCGCCCGTCAGTTGGCTGCAATGAACTTCATCATGCCTGGTGCAAGGGGCTGACTTCACGGCACAGGGTTTGTTACCCTTTTGGAGTCCAATCCTGACAGCACAACTCATAATGTGCCATGAAGAGAACGAAGCCCCGGCAGGGAAGCCCTGGCAGGGTTCCGGCCCCATGAATTTCTTCAGATTGGAGCAGGCTAGCTCGATTTCGATGCGAGGACGGCCACTAGCATCCTCGGGGATTTTGGTTCGGAGCGAGAAGATTTCAGACCTGTGTTCTACGTTGAAGTAGAGAGAGATCAGGATCGAAGGACTGCTGTAAAGAACCTCCCGGAAGGCGGGATGTCCTTCGACAGCACCTTCTGGCCACCATGGCCACAGCCTGTGCCAATCGAGTTTTGCAGCAATCTTGCAGCAGCAATCTTGCAGCTGCCATCAGTAGCCCAGCAAGAACGAAGCCAGCCGCCTTGCCAAAGAGTCGGAGATCTTGCAATCGGTTCTGCATCGAAGGAGTCTTGGCGGTTGGCCGCCAATGCAGTGTCGTATCATCGCCAATGGCACGACTGGGAGTGCCGGCCACAAGTTTGCGGCGAGTCCCAGCATCTGAGAAACATCTCCAGACCAGCCCCCAGGAAGCAGCATGCCGTCGATTCGACGAGGAGGCCAAAAGAGCAAAGGCATCTTGGGAATGTGGTGGCATTTCAGCAAGCACCACTCGAATAGAGAAAGCAACACCAAGAGCCTCGAAGCATTCGCTACACTCCGGGGGCCGTGCAATGAGTGCGGCACTTACTTTCCCAGTTCAACGGTCTAAATCTGAGCGTTGGGAAAAGTCCGCAGGGCTCCCGAAGCTTGCTGCGTCAACCGAGTCAGCTGTTTGACAGATTCAAAACTCCTAGGTGCTCTTGTGCTGAGGCACCCGTTGCTCAGGGTCCTTTGGTCCCACATTGTCTGAAGCAAGCAGTCTGCCTTCTGATGGCTTGGGGTGCAAATTCCTGAGGCCACCGACTAGTGGCACCCAATGAAGCAGCAGCGAAGCCGTAAGCCAACTGTCTCGGAAAACGCAGATGACGGACATGATATGGACGGAATGGAAACAGACATTTCTGAGAGCAGCTATCGCGAATTGCTTGCAGCCTCACAAGCACGAGCTTTGGATGCAATTGCTGGCTGAAGACGGAGGTTCGAGTGGCAGGGCAAAGACCCGGAGTGCTCGAATCTGGAGGTGCATGACATGACGAGGCCTCCTACCACCCTTGTGATTATTGCTGGCGCTAACAAGATTAGCGCCAATGTAAACGAGTGAACCGAGCCAGCCGAACGTGGAAGCTGAAGGACGACACATCGCGATTGCATCCAGCAACTAGCCCAGCACAGAAGGAACATGGGCCAGCTATCAGAGCGAGATTCAGGTACTATAAGCCTTCTGCGTAAGGTGATCCTGCTTTGCCCAAAGCAGGACTTAAGCCAAAACACCGAGCCATGGCTCTGTGGCTGCTCGCCTTGGTCCTCGGGGCCACCGGCCACAGCTGCCCCGAGAGAGGATGCAGGGCTCAGCAGCTTCGCAGAAGGGCCCCGGTCTGAGGGTTAACGATGAAGGCAGTACTAGCAATAAGAGTGGCCCCAAAAATGACTGTCATCTCTTGGGGGTGGGGGGGGGGGGGGATAGCATTCTGCATGTTTATAATGCATTTAGCACATCTTATGTACGAGCGCGGTGCAGAAATCCAACGCCTTTCAGAAGTATGGGCGAAATTCCTGGATCATGCCGTTGCTTCTCAGTCCCCCTGTTATGCTCTGCCTTCCGACGTCATTATCCCTCCTGCGCTCGTGTTGTAGTGAACTGCTTCTGAAGATTCCGAAGCGACACTCTCCGTGTCAAACTCCTGAGCCTTGGGATTCCCTGTAGCGACTGTAAGCGGGTGCGACGAGTCGAAGCCGAAGTTCGGCTCAATTTGGTTCTATGTATACAATATCATTATTATTACTATTATTATTATTATTAATAATGATTATTATTACTATCAAATATTATTATTATTATTAGTCCCGATGCATCCCTTTCAGGCAGCATGGGCCAACCTTGTTGCAGCTCCAGGCGCGCGAAGCGCGTGCAGAGGCCTGGAGCCAGGAAACTAAGAGCAGCTGCAGGGCAAATAGCCGCAAATCAGGGCTATGCTCAGGAATCCATATGCTTAGGGTGGCGGCAGCAGCTCGTCTCATGTGTGATCTCCGTACATAAAAGAGCCCGTGGTATTGTAACAGTTGCCATCGGAGACAACTGAAGAATGCCGGCACTCGTTTTGGCATATTGCTACTTTCGCGTTGCGTCCATTGTCTCGATTTAGCATCAGGCCCAGCAGGCCAAATTGGTGCGCACCAGCCACCTGGCAGCAAAGCCTGTGGACAGTAGGTTTGAGTTTCTTTCTCAAGCTCGCAGCGAGCAAGGCCGTGAACCTTGCGCTGCGTCTTGCCTGTGTATCAGACTTCTTGTCACCGAGGTCGTACTCATGATTTCCTTCTGCTGGAAAACAACGAGGGCAACTGCTTGGAAGCCTCCAACGCTGGGTACAACGGTGTCCGCCCGACCATGCAGGCAACGAGAGCATCGGCGCATCAAATCCGGAGATATGGAATCCAGTACACGAGTCAGCATCATGTACTATCCTATTCTCACAGTTTTTGTCAGCAGTCAGTGGCGTTCTTCTTTGTCAGATTTTGTCAGGAATGCGACGATGTTCACTCAAGTTTAGTTAGAATTAGCATGATCGAGTTTCAGGCTTGCGATTCTGACAACTTCCTGCAGAACTGGGTGCCTTGCTGCAGCAGTTTTCATCAGCAAGCTGTTGCCTGTCCAACGTATTGTGGGGCTTCGATAATATGAGTTTGAGATGGGTGTTGTGCTAGGTTGTGGGTTCTTGTGCTGGCAGTGGTATGCTCAGCAAAGTAAAAGCACTTTCGACTTGCCCCGGCATCATTGATCGGGCCGGCAATCGGTTGTGGCGCAAAGCATCCCGATTTCCGGCGGAAAGAAAGATAAGTCAGAGACTCGCGATTGTCACAGCAAGAAGTAGCCCTGCCGAGGTGACACCCCTGCCTTCGCAGTGCCCTTCTCAAAAATGTAGACTCCAGCCTAGGCTTCCTGAAGCAGAGCCCAGCTCAGGAATACGATAACGAGACAGGCCTGCTGAGACATGCGGGTGGCAAATGCCTGGATTCTTGCCCTTTTTTGGCTGAGGGATTAAGGAGTCTGTGGTAAGAGCTCACTAAGCGATATGATATCTTCGTCTGTGTGACAACGACTCGCACCAGCGTTTATCCAGTTCATTGTCTTATGATGTGATGTGTGCCCAGGATGCCTCGCAAAGGAGTATTCTTGCGGGGCTCATCCACCTCTGGACATGCGATGCCAGCAATGAGAACCAAATGTGGGATTGGGATCCGGATACCGGAAGGGTCAAGAATCGCTATGGTATCTGCATGGATGCTCCATCTCCGTTGTCTGAGGGCGAGTCGGCTGAAATGTCGAATCTATATGCTGGCTAGCTCAGTCACTCTAGCTGGTAGCGCTTTTCTGCGGTTTTGGTATGTTACGGTGTGTTGAGCCCATCTCAAAAAGCCGAGGCACCAAGATCCACATGTGGACTTGTATTGATGGTCTGAGCAACCAGAAGTGGCATTCTGTACCTGCCGGAGTACGAAACTTCACCACGGCAGAACCCCAGACAACCACCACTGCCGCAACTACCACGGCAACCTCAACCTCCACAAGTACAGCAAGTCCGACGGCAACCTCACCATCCACCAGTGCAGCCACCTCAACTTCAGAGAGCCCATCCACCTCCGAGACTGCGGCACCGACCACCACGCAAACGACCACACCCCAGCCCCTGACACCTCTCCGCAACTGCCAGCTGGAGCCCCTCGTTGAGGGCTCGGGTTGCCGTCGCCTAGAGGTTTTCGAAGGAGACGGCTTCGACATCGGTGAGAATGGCCAGGAGACGGCTGGCCGTCACGCTTGCCTGAAAAAGCTGCGCTTGACAGAAGAAGCAGACACCTTTGTGCATTCTTTGGGCCGATGTGAGCTATGGCACTGTGGCACCCTGGCACGAGTCCGAATGTCCGCAGGACCCGGAGGTGGTCTGTCAGAGTCGCCCTATGCCATCGCAATCAAAACGGCCTTGGGGCGGTACCTAACAGCTGCAGAAGATGGAACGATGAGGGCCGACGAGCAAGCATTTGTGCCAGAAGCACTCTTCCTGCTGATGCCCGGCAGTGGCGGCAGGTTTGTATTGAAGGCGCAAAATGGAAGGTATCTCAAAGCAGAACCTGGCGGACATTTGGCTGCCGTAACGGATAGCTGGGATGATTGGGAAGAGTTCGAAATTGTCAAGCAAGACGCTGGCAAAGTGGCTTTGCAAACTTTTCACGACACATACGTCTCGGCAAACCAGGACGGGTTCGTGTCTTCGGGCGGCTACAGCACCACGCCGGAGACGATGCTGGAGCTTGTCAACAGGTCCAGGGCAAGCTGGGTAAATAGCTCCGACCGCGTCCAATTTCACAAGACGATGTCAGATCCATCCAGCCATGCCGTGTGCAGCAGGCCGGGTGAGCAAGCTGCTGTTAGGTGCTGCTCCGATGAAGGCGTTGCGCCTGAGGATACATATGGCTGCCATGCCCGAAAGAACTTTTCTGAAGCAGCCGCCATTTGCCAGCAGAGTGGTCTCCAGTTGTGTACAGAATCTCAGATCTCGGTCTGCCCTGGTTGTACCTGTGGCTTCGAGAATCAGCAAATTTGGACCTCCACGGCCTGCGAAGGTACGGAAGGGCTCACCCAACGGCGGCTTAGCCAAAGGAACGACCGTGCCGCTGTCTTCAGCAGCTTCTGTGGCTATCAACCAGGCAAGGGTGGCCTCCACGGCGAGGAGGTGAGGTCCACCGTCTTCGTCAAGTTGAGCCTTCGCCTATGTTGCTGGTAGTACGGATCGGAAAATAGAACATACAGAAATTGAAACATTTAATGGCTACCGCCAGTGCCGCCGACCCCACAAAGAGCGGAGCTGTGTCATCACTGTTATTGCGACAGCCTGCGCAGCAGCACACGACCTAAACGCACCCTAACCTGACACAGCCAACCTTGCACAATCCCTGAAATACTGATGGATTACTTCTTTGTACTTCTGAACATGAATGCTGTGGCTGAGGAACACTCAGCTGCAACAGTCATGTTTAAAAGTAAGTACGTAGGCTGCGGCTGAGGAAACCTCAGCCTGAAACCCCCAAACCCCTAAACCGTGCTAAAGTTCCTGGCGACTTCGTTGGATGGACTCGGCCGGGGCCCTGGCTTATCTTTCTGCAGATTGGGGTGTCAGCGCGTTTGTGGCTGCTTGGATTGTTGGACGGTTAGCACAGTGACTGTGCCGTGTACTGTTTTTAGAAGCGTACTTATGGAGGGTATATACGGGGATTACATAGGCGTCCTATTATAGGGTTTATGCAGGGGCATACTAAATAGTATAGGAGGAGTTTGGAGTATAGACTCGCAATAAGGTCGTTCAATGTGTCGTGTTTCGTGGAGGCTCAGGGGTTTGAAGGTTGTTGGGGCCAAGGTCCAAAGCTCAGTTAGTTTCGAGGACCCAAGCCCAGGGCAGTTTAGGGGCGCAGCAATTGGAAGCCGTGTAGGTGCAGCTGCCGATAGTTTGGACCCCAATTTAAACCACATTTGTAGTGCATCCTCCAACCGTTCATCCAATTTAGCCGTTGTCGTGCGAGATTCTGCCGGAACACGAAGCTTTCCGGGCTCGCGCCTTGGAAGGTTTCGGGTCGCAGGGTTGCTTGTGCATTCCCTGGACCAGTTCCGGACAGATTCTTGCTGATGACGCCTAGTACCCTCGTGGCCAGCAATCAACAGAGAGACGTTGAAAGGCGGAAAGTACGGACAGCTTATGCAGGTGATTCTCCTCCTGCGGCTTGCGGTGCCAACGTGGCCAAGGCTGGTTGCACAGCAGAGGTTTCGGGTTCAGGGCGCACGCGGTTTTGATGTTCCGGCGGCTCCAGACCTGAACGTGCTGCTACTTGGATTGCTTGTAGTGAAGGCCAGGAGTGGGCACATCGTTTTTCGTATTGTTTAGTTCGCTATAGATTGTTAGTAGGTGCAATTCATATGTGGATTGAAGGTGGCTGATTAACAGGCTGCTGCAGACCTGTGTGGGCGTTTTTGGAAAGGAAAGAATTGCTTTAAAAACTGTTGTAATTGATGAGTTCGTTCGGTTTTCAAGTCAAGGATTTTATTTTCGGGCCAAGTTTAGCTATCGGTGCTGATGGAAGGGAAGCTTGGGAAATGCACCGAGAGACTCCAAAACTCAGAAATTAAGGAATACAGCTCAAATTATAATCGAAATCCTAATAAGATGTAAGGTACATTCCTTAATTATCAAGGGTTTTGGAGTGTCTGGGGGTTGCCGACTCTTAACCCGAAGCCCTAAGCTCCGGATGCAGCTGTTGATGTTCTCGAGGACGAGGTGTGAGCCGTTAGGCTTTCGGGTCAGACCAGGAACACTACGGTTGATGATATAAATCCTGCATTACCCGTAATAAGGTGCATACCATAATTTCTATAGTCTAGGGTCCTTAAGGTAATGCAGGATTTATATCATCAAGAGTGAGGTAATGCAAACTGTGGGTCAACAACACATTTCCGAAGTGCACATAGCGGCTACGTACCCATGTCTCTGTTCTCAGCATTTCCCCACTGCGCCCCGAAGCCGTGTAGGAAAGCCTTTCAAGCCAAGTTGCTCCGGCTGTAGATCTCCCGGCCCGGATCTAAAGCATCGCCACCTTGGCAGCACTCCCTTCATTTCCGGGATTCCTACAACATCTCCCTCACCCTAAACCCTAAACCCTAGACGTCCCTAAACCCTATGAACCCTAAACTTGCAAACAGAAGGAGCCGGAGCTGGCAGGGGCAGACGGTCCGAAATCCGAACCCTAAGCACGAGGTAAATAAGACGAACTTTCAGCTCGGACGGCGACCCGGGACTCCAGCATCCCTTTTGGAAGTTACTGTACGTCTTCATTAGGACTTCTAAGTTAGAATCTATCATATGGATAATGCAGCACTTCGGTGTCGGAGGCCAGGATAGGGTTTGTGGTGGCTTCTTCGGGTTGGTTTTATACGAGGGCTTTTGTATTCTCTGAAAGGGAGGATGCTGCTATTCAGGGTTCCTTCTATGCAAGAGTTCTTTGTTTTGTTTGCAGGGACTCCCCCTGCAAAGACGTCTCAAGCATACAGGGCGAGGAGACAAAGACTCAGGGAGGTAAAGTAAGGTCAAGAAGACTGTAGTAGCAGGTGACTGTGATCATGTTTCCGGTGCACGCGGATGCAGCACCTTCCTGTAGAACTCCGGATCGCAAGCAGAGATTTGTGTGGAGCCTTGAGATTCATAGGTTTGGGACCGAGGGACCAGAAGTGAGATCCTTGCGATTTGGGGGTTTCCGAAAGTTGGGGACCCTAACATAGTACCCCAAACAGTAGGATCGTTATTATAAGGACCCCAAAATAAGGTACCCTAATTTTCGGAAAGTTCCACTTGTTCAGATCAAGAACGTGCCTGGCGCCCTCCAGTACAAGTACCTGAAGGACCCTTGCAGGGGGGACAACCGAGGCTCTGATTTGTCAGGTGTCGCGACCAGCGCCGCAGAGCACGAGCTTGCTTTCGTGAAAGATCCTAACCCCTAAACCCTACTTGGAGGTTCATGGGGTAGTTATAAATGGGGATATAAGTCCCCTAATATGGGTTTAGAATTACAGTTACCCCTACTTATCAACCCCACTTATAACTACCCATGAACCTCCAAGTAAACTTAAGGGCTTCTCTCACGCAGTGCCGAGAAATCAATCCTGAACCCCCAAAAAACGCCCGTATGTCGGAAGAATGAGTCGTAGCCCCTTATACAGTAAAAGATACAACCCCGAACCCTAGTCTAATTATCAACTAAAACTACGGTTGAGAATATAAATCTTGCAATACCTTAAGGACCCTAAACGATGGGAATTATGGTCTATTCCTTATTATGGGTAATGCGGGATTTATATAAAATCTTTCGTAGTATAAGATATCCTTCCAAGGCTGATTCTAAGGCGTAACCCCTAAACCCTCAACCTTAAACTTTCAACCCTCAACCCTAAACCTACCCTAAGCCCTCAACTTAAACCCTCAACCCTAAACCTTCAACCCTAAACCCTCAACCTTCAACCCTAAACCCTCAACCCTAAACCCTCAGCCCTAAACTGCCGAGAGCGCTGCTGACCATTTGCATGGGCGCTCGAGGCTCCGACCGACGGCCCCGGCCGAGCCTCCCGTCAGAACGGTGAGGGAGGGAATCCCTCGCATTGAAGTGTTTGTGTGTTTTTTGGGGGGTCTGGGGGTACCCCCAGGCAGATTCCAGGGGCCCGGGGCCTCCTCGGCGGGTCTGGGGAGGGGGGGACAGACGCGTCCCTCCCCG